GCTCCTGTGACCCCGGTTTCGAAACCGGCTCCTGTGACCCCGGTTTCGAAAACTGCTCCTGTGACCCCTGCTCCTGTGACACCGCACACAGTTGCACTACCAGTCTTAAGGTAAAGTTTACTTAAAGCTTATAAAATGTACATAAATGTCTGTGAATAAGGGCCTATGCATTGGAAAGTAATTTGTTTTATTTTTTTATTTAGTACTTCTCCTTCAGTGATGGAAGAGGTTAAAGCTGAACCTCCGATTCCAAAGGGAACAATCTCCTCGCCCACACAAGCTGCCTCCCCAACAGCCTCTGAACAGGCCGCCTCCTCCTGCAGCGAGTCTGTTCCTACAGAAGCACCTTCCCCATCTCCCCCAACTCCCACATCAGACCTGGTAAGGCCTGTGTTCTCGTCTAGAGTGCCACATTAGCTTGCAGCAGTATCAGCTTATAGCTTCCTGTTGATTCATCGGTCATTCTAAGATCTTCTCACACTGCTTGGTTTAATGTAAAAAATGACATTGTGCCACAGGAAGTATTAATATAAAACTTGTATGAAATTGGAACAATACCTTTTGTGGGAAATGCAAGCTGTAGTCAGCTAGTATTCAAATAGGTTTCAATGGATTCCAGTTGTGTCCTTGAGTAGAGGCACAAAACAGGTCAAATGTATAAAAACATCTAAAGAAACTTCTTGAATGGCCACTGCAGCATAATCCACTTCTCTGGCGTTGGTCTTAATGGTCGGTGTGTTAATGATATAGTATTTTAATATTTTGGATCATATGGTTTTCACCTTTTTTTGTTCGTTACACACGTGGTGAATTTCCTTTTATTTCTGGATCATTCGTTTTACTTCTTGATTTTTAATTTTCAACCATTAATCTCTAACCAGGGGTCGAGAAAACTCAGCTATGCAGAAGTGTGCCAGAGGCTGGCCAAGGACCCACCCCCAGGACAGACGCCCACACCCTCCCCCCCTGCCTCCGCACCCAGCCAACCCCTGCAAGAGCTTAAGGTCAACAGGGTTGAGGAACCTCGGACAAACTCCAAGCGCACTACAGACAAGCCAGAGAAATCTGGACCGAGCCGCCCTCCTCGTCAGCCATTACGTTCCTTTAGAGGGACGAATGGCCAAGTTAAATTTGGAAGCGCAGGGCTGAAGATTCGGGAGCATCAGAGAGGCCTGAATACTGGAAAACAGTTTTCCCCACAGCGGGGTGCCAGACGCAGTGGCAAAGAACAGAACATTCCCCCAAAGTCATCAAAATAACTTGAGAAAAAGAAACTTATAATACATGAACTAAAACAGAAATGATAACAATATGTGTAAATATGTAAATAGACAGATGAATATATTTCATTTGACAGACTTTGTCACATAACTTCTTAACTTTGATGCCGAAATTAACCTAAACTGCTGAAATTACTTGGAAACACTGTAAGGAGATTTCCCTTTTCAGATAGTTCATATAGTCTGCTGACAGAATTGCAGACTTTAGGGGTGATAAAACATATTTAAAGTGATATAACCATGGCATTATCAAAACATGCTTCCATAAACGGGCTAAATCTGTAGCGCGTGTGTGTATATATGTGTTTGAGATTGTGAGAGGCAGAAAGAGGGATCTTGTTACTTTTAGATATAAGGTAGCCCAACACTTACCATGTGTTGTTAACCAAAATGACACTGTGGCACACTTGATTTCTGTCAGAGTTGTTATTGTTGCCATGTGATTCTTGAGCTTTTTTTTTTTTTTTTTTAAATCAAATTTGTTTTACTTTGAAATCAAGGATATATAATTATTTATGAAATGAACGATATTGAATCAGTGGCAGTGGTGTGTGTGTGATTAACAGAAGGTTTGAACTTTGATGTGTAGCAGTGTCAGAAGAAAATTTAATTATTGTGGATTCTACAAATGATGCTAGTGAATACTAAGTTACACATTAAGAACATTGCATTATATAATGATTATAATCTTTCAGTGTGTTGGTAGTAGTCTTTGTAATGCAGATATTAGATAAATACTGACATACTAACATTTTTAAAAAGCCCTGTAGTGTTACAGGAGTAGATGTGTTCCAGTTTCCAGTTTCAGTCCTGGCTTTTGGTCTCACAGAACGTACACATTTTTTAAACTGGGACTAGTTTAAAAGATCACCCACTAATCATGTAAGGTGTGGAGAGTTCTGTATTTTCAATTTCTGGAAACTTTTTAGAGTTGGATCATAGATCTTAGAAGATGCAGCTGTCCATTGGTGACTAGCATCTGCATGTGAATTGCTAAATATACTGGATCATCTGAGGGACCTCAGAAATTTGTCGCCTCTTCTTTTTGAAAGTAGCTATTTGATGGTTGATGCCATGCCTACTGTCTCTGCTTGATTTGATGACATTGATTGCCTGCATCATCTTCTTTTGATTGGTTACATAAGGACAGATGTAGTCCTTTTGCCGTAAGACCACTTTTGGGCTTGATTTTGTAAATGTCCAGTAGCTTTCTTTATGTATATAAAGATTTATTTTTGATCTGGGTTGTTAACACACTTGTGTTCCTGCTATATTTCATTTTATATTAATTTGTAATGTTTTTCTTTTCACGATATTCACTGATTCTGTAGTATTTGTGTTTAGATCAGAGAAAATATGATTATATGACAGCCAGTTAACGGCGAGCAGAACACGCTTGTATCTGTTGTGGGATGAATTAAATGCACTATCAAGGATTTGAGTCATTACAGAATTAAGTAATGGGTGTTGGAACAGAAATGACTAACATGCTTTAATGCGTTTTGTTTTTTGTGTTCTCATGTCATCTGAATAGTCTGTGGTGTTGCAAATGGAAATGAACAACAGATGGGTGAAGACAAAGAATTGCAGAGTTTCAGGATTAGGAGGATAAAACATTTCACCATGGATAAGTGTTGAGTCCTGACGGCATTGTACAAAATGTTGTGTTTTGTAACCAGTAGTGCAGTTGTCTCCTGTGTATACATGTCTGTGTTTGATAGTGTAAACTTGTGTGCGAGAGAGAAAGAGATTGCTTCAGACTTCATGGAACTATTATCTCAAACCAAACCCTCCAGTGCCTTAACAGTGTCTCATTTCAGTATAAAGAGTGCAACTATTTTGAGCACATCAGTTTGTCACACTGGACAAGGCTGGTTCGTTGGTTGTCAAAACCCAACATTATCAGTTTGACTCCCAGAGACACTAGATCCTGTTGAATGTAAATCTCAGTTTATTATAGGTGCAGCTGTAAGGCTGGGGCTGGTAGGAATGGAGCTTGATGTGTATATGTGTGTGTGTGCATGCTTGTTTGTCCATTATGCGTGATGCAGTTTTATTTTGTTAGCTTGTTAATCTAATTTCTGTCTAAAAATCTGAATCCTGTTTATAACTTTAACAATGAAACATGGGATTGCAATTTTCAGCCAAGTACACACTGGTTTATTAAGTCAATATTTTATTGCTGTATGAAAATAAAGATTTATTTTTAAACAGTCATGTCTTATACTTTGTGTTTGTTCGCACAAACAGTTTCTCACACAGTGGATGTAAATAAGGTTTCAAAAACACCTCATGTGTGACTTTGTGACATGTGACAGGAATTTGTTAGCACAACTATTGAGCACAACTTACAAGACAGAGACAGACATAGACAGAGACAATGTCCTGCCACACACCACTAGAAAGGATTTGTTAATGGATTTTACATGTCATCTGCCAAGTAACCATCCAAATCCAATACCCTTCAACATTATGTAACTGCTGTAGACATATACGGGTCTTCACTGAGTGTGTTCAGGAGATCTGCGTTACCCTAACACACAATACACATATACACCTATATATGTATATGTATATGTATAATCTGAGTATATTTAAAGATTTTTTTTTTTCTTTATTAAAGGATCTTTACGATACAAAACAGTAAGAACAAGTAGGATGAATACAGAGAGTACATGAAATCAAGAGCAGAGCCAGGGGGAGTTTCAAATATATACATTTAGTATATTTAAAGATGCAGGTAAATATTGAATTCACATTCGTCACATCACGTTGACGTCCCCCCCTCCCGACGTCAGTGCTGTTACGTAACACAGTGCAAAGTTGTCGTTCTCGCGGTGTTTTGCTGATGGCAGTGTCAGAGTGTCAACAGTCAACAACGAGCAGCAGCAGAGTCGGAGCAGGGAGGGGGGAGTAAAGCGGCTGTTCAAACGTCGGTGAGTTCACTCACACTTCACATCATCTAACGTAAAATGTCACATTTTGGCGAAATATTTCCAGTCGGTGTTCATGAAGCGCGTGGTGTTCCCGTGCGAGCTCAGCTTTCTTTAGCATTAGCGTGCTAACGTTAATGTGCTAACGTTAATGTGAGCTCAAAGGGTATCTGCGGTTAGCACGTAGCATTAGCGGAGCTAGCTGTGTTGTGACTGGTAGCCACATTCATAAAATTCGCTTTGCCAGTCGTGTGTTATCTGTCATTAGCGCACGTGATGTTTGCGTCCACCTGCGTTATAATGACACGGCTGTCAGGTTTCGGAACCAAGGTGTTTTGGTACGGTTAGCGGTGAGGTTGTGCTAGTTTAAGGCCCATCTCTCACAGAGTCAGGGCTAGCCGAATAACTGGCACTTAATGTTCACCTATCCACAGTCCGTAACCTAAGCCGTCTAGCATAGCAGGACGACCTCGACAGTGATAGCCAGCTAGCGCCAGTGCGTTGGTGACACCGTGGGGCAAGTTGCATGGTAGCTTGCTCTGCCTCTGCTGCCTCATCCTCCCTTTTAACGCGAACGTTAGTCCACGATATTTATCGACCGAGTCCTGAGCAAATGCTCCAAACAGGCCGACAGTCTTCGGCCTGTTTACCTGCTAACCAGATGTCACCAGGGTTTGTGTTATCGTGTTTTTCCACGTTTTTGGTGACAGGTGAGCACATGCAATTAACGGCGCTAAACACATCTCTCCTCTCCTCTCTTCTCAACAGGTGTATGACATTCATGACATGTAGAATGATGCTGTAGGTGGACACATTAGCAAGTTAAAACACAAGACAATATGCCAAAATAATAAGCAGTGATATTGGAATATTTTCTGCTGAACCAGTTGTTTCTGGGTAATTGATGCGTGTAATTATCTAACGCCAGTGTAGATCATTAAAAAACATAGCATCTGATCATTAACAGTAAAGTCTTGTGTCTTATTAACTCGAGTCTCAGCTGTTGAATGAAGAAAGCTGATAACAAGTTGCTTTCTGTGCTCTTTTGCAGAACATTTGTCTGAGATGGGGGATGATCGACCTTTTGTATGCACTGCCCCTGGATGTGGGCAGGTATGATTTCTCTACACATTATTTCATATGCACATCTGCAATAACCCTCTCTTTCACTCTATTTGTGTTTGACACCCATGATCATCCAGCCCAGAAATCTGAAACAAATCTAACTTTACACAGGCTCACTGCTTATTTAGCTTACAGTTAACTTTACTGTTAAAGACAGTACAAAAGCCAAATTAGTAGAAAATGATCAAGCACAAATAAGACTGCTTTTATAGTGCCCTCCCTCACTGTGGCCCATCTGCACACCACGCAAGTGTTATTCATCTCACATCATCTGTAATTAAGTTATACTGATGAATTCTTTATTTGTCAGCAGCACAGTAGACTGACAGATGCTACAATTCACATTCTTTACATCAATACTATATTATATTTGTCTTATCTCCTCTTGTTGCAGAGATTCACAAATGAAGACCACTTGTCAGTCCACAAACACAAGCATGAAATGACATTAAAATTTGGGCCTGCCAGAACAGACTCTGTCATCATCGCAGGTAATAACATTACCATTGATTTATTAAATAAAGCTGAATTTAGGGGTAAGTGGTTAGTGCTCTGAATACCTGTATTGAAACAGTCCTGTGATGTCTTTTGTGGAAGGAGATATTTCTATCCTGTAACCCTCTTAATATGTTTTGGGTTTTTTTTTTTTTTTGCAGACCAGACCCCCACACCCACACGTTTCCTGAAGAACTGTGAGGAGGTTGGACTATTCAATGAGCTGGCCAGCTCCTTTGAACAGGAGTTTTGCAAAGCACACGAAGACGAGCAGAGGACAAAACACCCGGTGAGAAAAAGAATGAATGTGCACCTTGAATGAATGCCACACTGTTGGTTTCCTGTGGTTACCAGATAAAAAGTCTGCCACAGTTTTATTATTTAAAGGCTTATATACATCTGCTGCCCTCTGCTCTAAGGCTGCACCTTTACAAACACCATCTGAAGTGAAAGACGAGGATGAGGGTCCTTTACAAGTTGATTCGTCCTCCCCTGGAAGTCCAGATTCCTCGTCCAGTATGTCAGATGACAGCGGGGACTCAAGGGTGAGAGGCAAGGTACAACACATTGCCACAAACTGTGTCTTTGTGTGGTCAGCAAGCTGGTTAACAGAATTACAATGATTAAGACTTACTGTATACTTAAACATAAAACAATTATTCCCTGTTCATTCAGACAAAATACATTTATGAATGGAAAAAGATTGTATTTTTTGATTTGTCAACAGGAGATCAACACAAAACCTGTGGCAAGTTCTACCCCCACTCCAACCATTGTGCGTCCAGGTTCTCTTCCCCTTCACCTGAGTAATGACTCTCTTCACCCAACTCTGCCATCTCCAACATCTGTCATCACACAAGCTCCACCCTCCAACAGACAGCTTGGGTAAACTAACTTATTTATTTGTTCATCATCTACTGATAACACAGTGCAGAGGAGGAACGTGTGGGTGGAGGCGGATGGTTTTGAGAGATAAAATCAAATCCTTCTGAAAGTGATACACATATTCCTCACACGCATATTCTGTTGCTCTAACTGCCATGTGATTGGTATTTGAGAGGCTAGGTACAATGAGCACTTGAAATGAAATACTTAATCGTATTTTGTCCGTGGGCACAGAATGGAGCAGCAGCCATTTACAAGTATCTGATGTTTTGTCAACAGCTCCCCAACAAGCGCTTATCCATTGGTGAGGCACCTCCCCAATGGACAGACAGTCCCTCTCCTGCCCAGTCCTGTGCAGATGACCTCCGTTATATCTGTAAGTGATTTTCAAAACTGGGGGGGGGGGTTAAAAACGAATTAACTTTAATATTTACCATGTCCCATCTGTTTCTCTCTCTCTGTATTTCTTATAATGTGGAGCTTGCGAGGCCGGTGAACTCAGTGCCTAACATCCCTGGGATTCCAGGACCTCCAGTTGGCGGGGCCAGCAGCGGGTCATCCTCCCCGTCTGGGTATAGTCTACACTCGGAGACCAAGATGGTGAGATTATCAATCATGATGGCGTGTGTAATTTTTTTAATAAAGTAAGTAATAAAGGAATTTGTAAAATAGCTTTTTACACTTTAAATGTGTTGTATTATGTGGTGACATTTCCATCCCTATTTTTACCAGCTCTTTTTGTGAGCTTAACATTCAGTAACCTACATGGAGTGTTGTCTTTGTGTGTTGTTGTAGCGGCTGAAGGCAGCTCTAACTCATCAGGGCACAGGAGCACAAGATGGAGCTGGTGGAGGTGCAGGATCCATCCCTGCTGTCCCCCAGCGGCAGGAACAGAGCCAGCAACCCTCTCAAAACTCTGATGCACCATCACCTGCCCAACCCCAGGTAATGCACATGGCATATGAGCTTACATACAGATCCTAACTAGGATAAGAAACATAAATGTCTACAGTGTACAGGAAACATTTGATTAATGTGAATATATACAATGACATGGAACCTTAAAGTAATACCCCAAATGTGTCTTGAATATCACTCCTACCCCTATAACCTAAACACCTTCTTGTTCACCTTCTTCTTACTACCACCACTCGTTACATTATCCATTGTCAAAATTTTACATGAATTTAAATTATAATTGGCTATTTTTCAATGAGATACTAGACTGCATTGTGATGAATGTGGTTACAAATAATTATTTTCTGTACCTTAACATTTGAATGGTCCACTGTGGTAATATTGACATTTTGGATTCACTTTACATTGTGTTATTTTTGTCCCTTTTTAAAGGAAAAGCAAAAAACATCTGAAGACAAGATATTTCTGTAAAGTCAACATTTGCAAAACTCAGGACATGTAACCTAAAAGTATTTACTGCCCACCCCAAATTCCCCAGGTGTCCCCTGCTCAGCCAACAGGAGGCCGGCGGCGGCGAGCTACAGAAATGGACCCTGACGAGAGGAGGCAGCGTTTCCTGGAGAGAAACCGAGCGGCCGCCTCCCGCTGCAGGCAAAAACGAAAGCTGTGGGTTAACTCTTTGGAGAAAAAGGCAGATGATCTTGCCAACATGAATGTCTCCCTGTCGGTTAGTCTTCCATTTCCATTTTTCACTGCAGGGTTGTGTCTGCAACATAAACATTGGTCTCCTTGATAATGTGACAAGATGGGGCATGCTGGGAATGATGTGTGTGTGTGCTTTGTGTTTCCATAAGAATGAAGTAAGTCTACTGAGGAATGAGGTGGCACAGCTGAAGCAGCTCCTCCTGGCCCACAAAGACTGCCCTGTCACTGTAATGCAGAAGAAGGCAGCTTTCTTAGGTAACCATTGCAGGTCGTGGACCGACCAATGAGCTTCATGCACTGTATTATTTCTTTTGTCAGGATCCATCTGTCATTTCATCCATCTAATGTATTCTTCTTACTCGCTCACCTCTCTTAAGGGTGAATGTTACTGTCTCTGTCTCTAGCTGCAGGAGGAGAGGAAACCTCCAGGGATACTTCCACTGAACCCATTGGCTCCCCGGCGGCAGTTATCCAGCACGGGCCGTCACCCCCCGCCTCGGCCTCCAGTCCGGGGACCACCATCAACGGGCTGAGCGTTCGCGCTGCAGAGGCGGTGGCTATGTCAGTTTTGGCCGGCATGGGATCTGGTCAGCCGGGAGGGATCGTCATGGCGACGCAGTCGCAGTCGGCCCCAAGATGATGCGCTGACGTGGGAAGCCAGTATAAACTCGAGTGGCATTTGGAGGCTGGACTGGTGCAGAGTGTTTGAAAAGAGGGACCGGCCCTCAACCCTCAACCCAGACTAAGATACTCTCCTCCCCTCACAGCCAACGATAATCACACAAAGACACGGCACAGTGCCTCTGTCAACCCTCCAGTCCCAGCAGGCTCCCCTTTCAGAGAAGCTTCGTCACTCTCTGTATGTAAATATGAATTACACGTCGGACACTCACTGCAGGGTTTGGGGTCATTTCTTGTTCAGTTATGACGGTTGTAAAAGGTTTTAGATTGGGATGAAACGTATGAATGAAAATGTCTCCTTTATCTTTTATTTTCATTTTACTTAAAAATGCAGCTTCAGTCCAACTTTGTCCCATACACTGGCTGTGATGAGGTTGGTTGCTTTCCAGACTGATAATTTTACTTGTATTTTTCAGTTGTAAGAAAAGATTTGTATGCCTGATACTGGTTATTGACGTCATGTTTTACCGATGAGGTGAAAGTACGGTGAGAGATTGTCTAGTGGATTGCAGTAAAGGCAGCCTGGAAAGTGTTGCTAATGCTCTCTCTTGTTTACTTTTAAACCTGTCCTGTTCATTTTCTGTCTGTTTCCCTTTTGAGGTAATTCTCCTTAAATATACATGATGGTTTAGTCAGCTGAGTGCATAACAAACCAAATTGTCAGTGTGTACGCAGTTTACCCTGAGTGTGTGTGTGCCTGAATTTTTTTTTTTTTTTTTACCACCCTTTTTTAAGCCATTTGGTCATTACATTAGTCGTATGTATCAAACCCTATTGACTGCATGGATTACTCAAGGCTGAAGAATACCACTGTTTGTTTGTGCTTCATCATACTATCACTGTTTATTGATCTGCTTTTCTTCTGTTTTATAACATGAACATATTGATGCAAAAATTGTCCTTGTTATGTAAGGATTCCATCCTCAGTCCTAATGTAACACTTGAAATGGTTAGCTTTAGAGGGCCTTTAAATGATAATCAAACATAATAGATTTTAAATCATTCACCCTGGCATTTCAGTTGAGGAAAGAGTAGTGCAATATATTTTTCTATTGAATATCAATGTTCTTGCATATAGTTGACATGTGTAGCCCAGCTGCTGAGAGGGGTTTGGTCTATTTCAGTTGAAAACTAAAGTTATGAGGTGACCAGAGAAATGTGAATGAATGAGATTGGTGATAAGAGCTCTTCTGTAAAGAATTACAGATGTCCTAGTCTTGGGTGCTTTCCAACATTTGAAAAGCCGTCTTGTATCATGAAGTAGACTTAATACTTGTGCAAGGTGCTTCTTTTGAAATTTAAGTTTTAAAATGCAGATTATTTTATACCGTATTGTACTTCCAAGACTATCATGTTGTTTTTTCCCCTCGTGTGTCTTGTTTATTTTTATAACATGTCATTGTTTTAAGATGTTTATTTGTTTTTCTGTGGGCATGTTAAGCTTTTTTCCATTGTGTGATGGTATGTCCCTTTTTATTTTGTTAAAGAGGGTCCCTTTTATTTGTTTAACAGAGGTTAAACCACACGGGGAAAAAATATCTCAAATGGAGTGAGTTTGTCAAATACTCAGGCCTCAAGGTGGGAAAAATTACTTGTGTATAGTCTCAACTAATGAATAAGTTGTCTCGGCAAATAATAAAATAAATTAATTAAAAAGGAAAGCTCATCAGCATGTTTTCACCTATCCACACTTTGTGCCTTTCATGTATTACTTTTACATTCAAGTCACAGAGCTAAGCACCCTTTTTTCTGAAGAATAAATACCCAGGGATCTTAAAAAAAAGGTTGTTAAACGTTACTGGCAATTAATCTGAATGTATTTCTAAAGTTAAAGCAACAATAATCTATTTTTTCCCACAAAAATGGATCATAGGACCACAGGCGATCCGGCCCAGAGCCAAACAAACAGTGAATGGCTGAAGACGCTCCTCTGAGGAGTTGCTGATGGTAAAGACTAAAAGGAGAGTGAACATTACATAGCCAGAAACACAACTTCAAAGGGGTGCTAATGTTGTTCTGTATCAACTGGATGTGTAAATAGACAAGTGTTTGTTATATTTAATTTAAACGTTAATAAAAATGTCAATGTTGCATTACAGTTTGTTTCCGCTGCCCCCATGTGGCCAAAAACTAGAGCAAGTTTAAGACTCTTTAATTATCTTCCCAATGACAGAATATTTATATGACACAAGAAATACATTAGTTGATTTAAAAAATATGAAACCAAAGCTAACAATCAAGCTTAACACCAACATAGATACATGTAACTTATCATAAAACATTTTATTTTAGTTTCAGGTTGCACAAATTGAGCGTGGACACATTTCCGGCCGCCATCTTTGTTTGGTTGCATCTTTGAGCGCAACTTGATAAAGTGTTTTAAAGTCTTTTATTTGTATATTTTTCAACAGAGATAATATGTTTCTTCCAAAATGGTTAAAAGACACAAGTATAGAAACCCCCCCAGAACAGCAGCAATGGTTGTTAAACAATCTTCAGGACCCTTTATTGTTCCGAATAGCTGTGAATCCACTGTAATGATGAACGAGAGGCTCAAACTGGGGCTACCTCCCACCTGAGGGGACGGTAGCAGGTGAGATGCATCCGGAGGAATGCTGCTGTTCTCTCTCTCTCTCTCTCTCCCTCTCTCTCCCTCTCTCTCTCTCTCTCTCCCTCTCTCTCTCTCTCTCTCTCTCCTCCCTCTCTCTCTCTCTCTCTCTC